TATATTAAATGTTGAATCCCCTTATATTATTCGTGTGTTTACTTTTTCTATTTTTTGAATCCCTTGGTGAAAATGCAGCATCTGCCACGGGCAACAACAACAAGAATAACTACCACTATGACTATGACTCAGTCCCAAACGAAGTGGGATCGGCTATATGAATCATTACTAACCATGTTAATTAATTCATTTAAAAAATCTCATGCTAATAATACTCAAATACAAATAAAAAGCATTAGAAGTTCGTTAACACAACCTGATTTAATCAAAATTGAATGAAATTTTAAGTGCCACTTACAACTTCTCCCTTAGCTCAGGGGTATCTTTAGGGGTACCAAGTGTATTCACTAGCCTCTGAAACGTAGACACAGCAGTATTGATCTGGAAAATTCCAGAAGCCACTGCTTGAGTCGGGTCTTGCTTCCCATTTGTGTGGAACCTTCTAGAACCCAATGACCGACCCGATTCCAAATCTTGAAAACTCATCTTTTTTTAATCTTTTTCTCTTCAAATTTTTTGAAAAATCCCCCCAACCCAAGTATCAAAATCTATAATTATATACAAAAAGAGAAACAAAATCGAATTTTGATCACAATTACACAGGGAAAAGAAAAACTAGANTATATATATATATATATATATACCGAGAGAAACAAAATCGAATTTTGATCGAATTTAGTAGTAATATATATATGAAAAGTTGAAAAAAAAAATTGAGTATTTGAGGGGGAGAGGGGGGTTGAAAAGGGGAAGAAAGGGAAAGAGTGGAAAGGTGCAAACAATGATTTGCATTTGCAGGCGGGCTTCCTTGTCCTTGGATGTGACACGTTAGCTGGTTGGTGTTTGGCAGCTTACGTTTAAAATTTATTCAAATTGTGCTTTTCTTTTTTCATAATAATAGTAATAGTAATATTCGAGTTAGTTTGAACTTTGAAAACAGTTCAATTATTTCATAAAGTATATGTTTATCTCTTGTTATTGAGGGGTTGTTGTTTGACCAAAAAATGTATGACGTTTGATTAAACTAATTAATTTTGTATGATAAAGGGGCTAAACCTAATTATTATCAATAACTTCATATGTATAATCGATTAACACAAATAACATAAGAGTAGTATTGAAAGAAGATTAAATGTGATGTACATTCAATGTTTTAAGATCATTAATGATGGGGGAATATCAAGCAATAAATAACAATAAATGACATTAAAGTAAATAAGAAAAATAATTCACCCAATACTAAATGAAGTGGATGATTCTTCTTTCTGACAATGGTGAATGATAGGCAAATACTAAAATGTTGGGACCATTCTCGGATCTAATGGAAAAAGTGTGGAATAGTAGACAATCGAATCTCTTTAGAAAGGTAGTGATTGTCTTTTATCTAGAGAGAAAGTCTGTTTTTCAAAGAGTATCAAAGAATATCACCTATCTTTCTCCCCCTCACTTTTTCTATTTATATGAGATATTCTCCAGTCAACCCTAAAAGTACATACACCAAGAATATTCTTGAATATTCTATTACAAAAACTAGTCGTTAGCATTGCCCTTGATACTCGACCTCGGTCATTATTGACTACTCGGCTACGAGCCCCATTTTCTACTAATCGACCTCGACCATGTCGCTTTCCACGATACCGCTTCGTGCCAAATCTTAATAAAAGTAGATTTTGACGCATACAGTGGTTTGGTTTGACGATGAATTATGCAGGGATAAATTATGCAGCAATAGGTTTATTTATTGTATATAACAACAACAACAACAACAACAACAACAAACCTAATATATTTCTATAGGTAGAGTCTGGAAATTTTATTTATTGTATAAATAAAATAAATTTTTTACTGATGTTGAATAGATGTGTAGGCATATAAATTATATTAAAATTAAATCTATAAAATAATTTGGACTATATTTTAAATTCAAGATATATTAGTCCAAATAAATATTATGGGCTAATATAGTTGAATTAGTTGTATAAGTCCAATATATATGGATTAAATAAATAAGTCTTAATACATTAGGCTAGCCCATTCAATTGGGCTAAAGTGATGAGCCCACTTCATTAAGCTCAAGATGTCATCTTCCTAGAGGCCCAGTTTGGTGTCACACGTCAAATGACGTGGCACACCAAGTCGAACGGAAGATCCAATAGGATTGTGCCACGTGTCAAAATGACAAGGATGCCAAGTCAAATTAAAGGGCCAATAAAACCACGCCATGTGTGCAAGTGACATGTTCTGACCAATCAAATACGGCCTTGTCACACTTTGATTTGATTGGTCGGAAAGAGTTTGTTCTTATCATAACTCTTTCATCCCACAACTATAAATATGGGTCTTCATAACCTAGAAAAGACACCAGAAGTTATAATAATAAGAAAGAGAGAGCTCGTGAATCAAACGCCGCAAATTTCTTTACAAGTTTCAAGCTTCAAGCAATCAAGTTCAAGCTCAAGAATGAAAAAAAAATCAAGATTCAAGGAGTACGAATTCAAATCAAAGTTCGTGCTAGTTGAATTCAAAATCATCGTTCGCGACAACAAACTACATATTCAAGATCAAGCTCAAAGGCCCTTGGATTTATTTACTATTGGAAAGAAGAATGAGATGATTCATAGATATTATACACTCATATTGTTTGAAATCAAATACTACGATTGTTGCAATATTTTTCGATCTCGATTATTTTCTCGACGCAAATTTATTGTCTATAAGATGTAAATGACCAAAAAATATGGTTTGATGGCAAGGTCAAAAGCTTCCAACATATTTTTTCGTCGAGGCTAGTTTGTGCGCCACCTACATTATTCACTAACTTTTTATTGTTCCCACGAGTATAAGTATCAGGTAATTATATCTGTCAAAGCTTAAACATATGAAATCACCTAATATTTTTGACTGTACTGAAATTTAAACTCTTTTCTTGCATTATTTCACCCATTTAATTGACTTTTAAGCCACGCTCTTAAATATCTGTCTAACTGAATAGAGTGTGCATTTTGAGAAACATCACCAAATTTAGGCCGTCGAGGCATTACTAATGCTTGTGTTTGTTTCTTCCGAACCCAATCCAAAACATCGGTATCTCGGTTAGGACTGTTCAAAATCGAACAGAAACCGTTAATCGAACTGAATCGATAGCTTATTGGCTTATTGGTATCGGATTATCGGGGTAATGGATGATGAACGATTGATATTTTATAATTAACGGCTTAACGGTTTGAGGGCGGATAACTCAATTTTCTTATCGGATAAACCGTTAATCCGTTAAGAATTTTTATATTTACACTTTTACCCTATGTATATAAAGTACTATTGAAACCCTAAATGGCCAAATCCCTAATTTATATTTTCTAATTCTCAATTGTCTGCAGCCACCAGAGACAGAGAAGTCGTCAGTCTCGTTTCTCGCTTGAACTGAAAACTGAGAAGTCGAAAAATTGAAATCTCAATGATTAATACGTGTATATCTGTATGAGTAGTCTTGATGGTATTAAATTTTTGGTTAATACGTGTATGGCAGTATGAGTAGTCTTGAAGACTGTTCAATTAAAAAATACCGTTTGGTTAGATGTTAGATGGTATTAAATATTTGGTATTAATTTAAAACTATTTGGTATTGATTGTTCAAAAAAATTCTATTTGGTTTAGCCGATAACTTAATCTGATACCAATCTGCCTGTTGTCTAATTAGATGGCTAGTGGATTACTATATTTATAATGCAATAACCGTTAAGCCGAATCGTTAAGCATAATTATCCGTTCGATCTGCCCGATAAGCACCCCTAATACGGGCTCCTTCTTCTGTAATGGGGAAATTATGCCTAATAGAATTATCGTTTATATTTTGACCATCGTTAAGAATTTTTTTAATAAAATAACCATGTGTGAGAATTTTAAAGTTTGCTGCCAAAATCTTGAGTCAAAATTCTGACAATTCTAGCAGTGTGCTTCAAAATTTTACAGCATACCTCAAATTCTTATAGTGTGTTTTAATATTATAGCAGCGTGCTTTAAAAATATGGGAGCATGCTATAAAATTATGACACATGGATATTTTTTGAAATCTTTTTTAACAAGGTCAATATATAAACGGTGGCACTAAATGATGGTGATCTTTTGCCAATACCCATTCACATCAAACTATTTACCCATCCTTACCCATAAAGTTTTCTCCCTACCCATTTTTTTTAATGCCTAGCCCTTCCAACCAAATAAAGTCAAACTAAGCTACTAAAAACAAGCTAAGCCAAGCCAATTCACTCCAAGTCAGGCCAAGCCAAGCCAAACTAAATCAAGTCGAGCCAAGCCAAGCCAATTCAATCCAAACCAAGCCAAACCAATTCAAGACAAATCAAGCTATGTTAAGCCAAATTAGTAAGAAAAGTGGGATGAGTTGGTAGGTTGGGTAATTAGTTTTAATTGGGTAGGTATATACTGTAACTAGATTTCAAATGGGTAGAGAAAGATAATTAGTTTAAGCTCAATGGGTATTTTGCATAAATTGATCCTAAACGATCCTATTAGTGTAAGTATCCTTTCTGTAACCCATTCTACAGGAAATTACACTAGTGACCTTGAAAATGGATGGTCTTGATTTTTTGACCCTCGCTTATCTCATGCGTAAGTGTTTAAGGTCTAAAGTCAAAAGTGTTGCCAATGGGTCAAATGAGGGGTAACATTTGCTAGACTTAAAATTTTACCTGTGAGGCAAGTGGGGAAAAAAAGGAAATATTACACAAATAGCCGGCCAGATTCAATATTTACTTTTTCTAGCCGATATACATACATTATATATTGATTATACGTAATTATATATATATTATATATTTACCGGCTATTTATAGTTTAAGAAATTAGGTGGGCGGCTATATGGGTTAATTCTTCGAAAAATATTTAAGAGTGGCACCGAAGTGTTCTATTTGAGCAAATAATCCCCCATTCTAATTTCGGCCCAAGTAAACGTCAGCCCAATATATTATTGGTCCAATTACAGAGAGTAAGCCAAGTGAAGAAAAAAAAAAAACGAGGTTCGATTTTGATGAAGACGACGATCTTCATGCCCTGAAACCGAAAATTTTCATCATCAAGAACGAAGCTTTTCAGGTGATCTACGTTTTCCGTATCTCTCACTTTTCTGGGATCTCAAAAATTCTAATTAATTTCCATAATTTTATGTTTAGTTTTCCAGTTCTCATATTCACATATCCAATGTGGTGACATGTGGCATTTCTTGTGAGAATTCATATAGCAAATTCTAGCTAGTTTTGAATTGAGGTTTATTTGGTTGATAAATTGATTGATTCATCAAAAATTCTTTTTTTAAAATCTTTGTAGCCCTTTAGGATCATATAACTTGTGAATCTTCTTATATAAGCTCTTTTGAAACTTTTTTCTTGGAACTTACTGAGATTATGTTTATTGTTGCTATTATCATTTTATTCTATATAGTATTGGCCTGAGATGAGTTTGAATTGAATAACATGCTTAGTGAGGATTCATATAGCCGACCCTAACTTGCTTGAGCCGTGGCGAAGCCAGAAATTTCCTCAAGGTGTTCAAACTTGAAAGAAGTAAAATCTTTTTTCCGACAAAGGGTATTCAATATATGTTACATATAACTCTAAAACTTAATATTTTACATGTATACATAGTATAATTTTTCGACAAAGGACGGTCAATTGACCACCCTTAGGACAATGTAGTTTCACCTTTGTGCTTGAGACTGAGGCATAGTAGTAGTATCTTGTTGTAGTTGAGATTATGCATTCATATTCAATAATTGCTGAAAGGGTCATCGGAATACAACGGGGCTTATCTGTTTTTGAGATCAACCTTGTCCGTGATGGCCCAAGGGCTCATGTGGGGAGGCCTTTTTCTAGCTAATTTAGCATTTTATGGTAGGAAGTCACTATCTTTAGGATTCAGATCATGTATATTAGGTATTTGTTATTTGAACATTGTTGGAAGTTCAAGAATCACCTTAAAGTGGGGGGACAACTAGAATTTCTCTGGTAATGTGTAGGAAAATTAAAGTCTAGGTGACAGTTGGCTGGAGTAGTAGTTTAGTTCTTAGAAAAATATTTCTCTTATTCTCAACTTGAGCCGAGGGTCTATCGCAAACAATTGTCTATCTTCATAAGGTAGGGGTAAGGTCTGCGTACACATTACTCTCCCCAAGCCCCACTTGTGGGATTTCACGGGGTTTGTTGTTGTTTTCCAACTTGACTAACTTAAGCATTTCTTAAAGCTTGATGCTTCTATGATGTATATAGCATCTCTTTCTTGGGAAACATTGGCCCTTGTGAAGTTCAGTTCCCATTGGCAATAAAAATGCTTAGGGTCACTTTTATTAGATTTGAGATATTGATTGAATTAGAATGAAGTGCGTGTTAATTTGTAGTATTGTGTCCTTCCGTAATAAACGATATTTTTGGTGAAATTAGGGCCTAATATGTGCGCAAGATCCGTCGCCTATCATATGGCTTTATTTTGTGATTCATCAGTTGGAGTCCTTTTCAAGTAAACTATAAAGTTTATTAATTCAAGAATTTATACATTACCGTGATGGGGCATCTAATATATCTACTGTTTGGATGAAACCTAGTTTGCTCAAACTACTGGTTTATAGTTAATCAGGTGTGTTTAGGTAGAATTATAGCTAGTTAATTTTGGGTACTTCAGTTTTGGTGGCAGTTTTGTTATTTGGGCATGAAACCACTAGAAACAACTGATGACATTTCCTTGACAAGTTTATTTATTAATACATAATATACCATGGTTCCTTCCCTGATTTTTCATCCTAATATGAGGCTACTAACATCTGTTATTTTCCAGATATTAAGAGATGGCAGCCTTACGATTAGGCCACTATAATATTTTAATGCAGTGCAACAAATATATGTACTGAACTTTGTTCTTCAATGTTTGGACCTTTTTTATGCTACAGTTCCGATTTTTTTTTTTTACTGTTAGACGTGTTTATGATATAACTATATCTAATACATATCCCAATCTTAAATGTCTTTTGATGAACTTATATGGATGGAGGTTTCCCTTTGTATTTATAGTTGGAAGATCCTGAATGTTATGGTCTGAACACATAGATGTGTGCTGTTTGCTATACTAAATCCAGTTAATATTTGATTGGTCAATGAATATACGAACACACTGGTGTTTAATTGTCTTTGGCACATTTTTTATTGACAAATACATAACCCCGTAAGGTATCAGTGTTCATTTACCTTTGTTTTTCTGGGGTTGTGCCGTGTGCGTTGTAGTTTAAAACCATCACTGCTGAGGGTGAAGTTTTGTCATTTTAGGGTCAGGATAATGCTAATAAGCAGGAGGCAATTAGAGAACTGCTCATGTAGCTTTCGGAAGTTTTCCTTGGCAAGGCATATTGGTAGATTGGGTAGATATGAATGTAATGCAATCATTCACAAGGCATTTTGCCAGGGTTAATGCTCACGTGCTGGAAAACACGGGCTAAGATCAACATATATAGTGGATATGTAGCATATCTTCTCATTTTTCTTCCTCATTTTCTTCTTCCTCATGATGCACTAGACCTGGAAAGACACGGTTTAAGATCAACCCATGTTGAAGTGAAACTTTATAGTCTTCTACATAACTGAATGTTGTTAAAACTATGCTCTTGAGAGAGAGAGGAGCCATCCCTTTTGTTCGCTTATAATGGAGCACTATTTGGTCGTTAATGTGACATCGTTCCAGACTGTGTTCCACTCAGTCTTTTTCAGTTTCTCTCTGTTCCTTTTAGTCTCTTGAACCTTGTGTGTGTAAACCTGTGGCCAAGGCAAAAAACTGTGTGTTAACCCTCTTCTTGTTATGTATGTAAGTTCTTATTAAAATGTTCTCTTTTACAGACGGCACAAGTAGTAGTGGTTCAATGGAGTTAGCGGACAGAGCTGTTGGGCTGCTTTTGACATTGACTAGTTTGTCCATTTTCACATACTATACCTTCTGGGTCATCATTCTGGTAAATCGATAATCTCTTCCTTCCAAATACGTTATGAACCAAGTTTTGTATTAAGTGGGGGAACTGATATACGCTTTTATTCCTATTTCAGCCTTTAGTTGACAGTGATCATTTCGTGCACAAGTATTTTCTACCACAAGAATACGCAATTCTTATTCCTGTATATGCTGGAGTGGCACTCATCTGCTTATTGAGCGTGTTTATTGGATATATTATGCTCAAGTCCAAGAAGAAGAAGGCATGATATGGCCATGTCAAATCCATTTTTGTTCTCTACTAATCTCATGATAACTGATGATCTCTTGTGTTTTTAACTCTTTTCATTTTGAACAGAAGTGTCATAGATCACATAGATGACTCTCTATTCGTGGGTTCACTATGATTTGGAACCTCTAGATATGATTTTTAGTTATACAGACATTAAACAACACATGGTCGATTGTTCTCTTGTTATTTGCTGATGGAGTGTAAGAAAACTTTCTGGTGGATGACTAATATGTTGGATTGTCAACAGTTACCACAAGAAAGTTGCCACTTATAGTTGGTGAAGTTTGATTAGCAGTTTATTATCAGTGTAATCTTTTATCTTTTCCTTGTTTTTCTGTGTAAATTTGCGTCACTGCCAAAAAGAACACTAGTGATTTCTTCTTATCCGCCTAAGCTTTGGTGGTTATAGTTGTGCTGGTGGGAAATAGTAGGTATCAGGTGGATAGTCGAGGTATGCACGAGCTGGTTCAAACACTGCTCTCATTCTCTCCGAAGCTACGGAAATGATGCAAGGAGAGAAAGTCTAACCCTTATGACGGAAATACTTCTCACATCTACAATAAAGAAAAATACACCAATGAAGACACTACTTTTCTTTATTGTTCATGGTACCTTCCAACTCTGAATGATACAAAGAGTAGTTATTCCAAATTTCCAAGTCTCCATCTGAGACATGCCAGCAATACACGCAATAGTTCTTGATATGATTTTGCAATTAAACAAAAAAATTGACCTCAAGAGAAGACAAAGTGACATAAGTTGTTACAAACGGGACATGGGCAATCTAGTGCACAAAGCATCATGCGTTCATGCAGGGTACACCAGTTCCTAAATACCCCGGAACTTCAAAATAACATCATATTAGATGCAAATGTTGTTCATTTCCAATTTTTGGTTCCTTCCACTGTGAGTAATGGCTACACAAATGGCATCTTATACATAAAAATGTGAGATGTATCTCCCTTTACAAACAATGTGTTGTATATTCTATATTGTATAAATGAAGCTCCTAAGACCTCTATATATCACTATACAATATACAGAGATCAGACCTGGCTACTGGTCTAAAAGAGAACTCTCTTCCTTAACAAGAACAAAAAGGCCACCATCTCCTCTTGAAATCCGGAGATCCTTGTCAAGGTATGTCGTAATAAGCCAAGACTTTGTCCTCTCACCTGGAATCGGAATCTTGAGAGGAGGCAGACCAGAAATAGCTCGGGCTATAGCTGCCACAGCATTTTCCAGAGGACCCAGAGATTGCTGTACAGGTGACAAACTTATCTTTTGGCCAAAGATATCCACATTTTCTGGCAGATTTATTTTTGACTTAACCTCTGGAGGATTAAATGTCCCTTCTTTGAATTGAACCTGAAAAAGCAAGTATTATCTAGTCACTGAATGCACAAGCTGGAACTAGTCTAAAAGCTTGTGGAAGTTTATCAAGATAATCTATTCTTTCTTTGCCTAAGGAGTCATCTCACTGCAAAAATTATTCTTCAGAATCTTCACCATTCCATTTGTCTTTGGTTAAGCGACATGCTCATTTTCTCTCTTCACATAAGACAGTATAAGTACCTCTATGAAGAAACTACATTGTAGTTCAAGAAAGGTACCTGTATTCTTGACGGACTTCGAACTTCAAAGGCAGCAGTTGCACTGAAAGAAGAGGTGGCAACAGGGCTTGATAATGTAGTTGAGCTCTCTATGGTAAGGCTGCTTGTACTAATCGTTTGGCTAATCTTTTCAACCTTCAAGAAAGGAATGGTGCCCACAGCCAGAAGAGGTAACAACTCAGAGAATGCTGTAAACCTGACACACAAAAAGTAACATAAGGGGTATCTAGAATATCTATGTCCCAGGACGCAAAATATGAATAATGAAAGAGGAGAAAGAGTATACTCTATAGTGAGATAGTTGTTCTCCTAATCGACTACTTATTATGATAATGAACATTCCAACTAGATGAGTTTGTGCGGAGAAGTATGCCAGTGGTTATCTACCTCAATCCAGTTTGTTCATATAAGAATCCTCTTACACTTTTCACCAAGGTAAGGTTGCATTTCCAACTAGTTTAGCTCATTAATGGGCACTTAAGAATATTGCAGCCAATATCAGTACTACAACATCAACACTTGGGCATATACTATCGTGGGAATTAACAAAAATTGCAGTTAACATATCACCAAGACATAGTGACCTATAAAAAAATTTACCAAAACATGGTCCTCCAATTGCTGTTAAATGCCAAAATTTTTGGGAAGGCAATCATCTCAACTCTCTAAGTTATCCCGACATCAATAAGCCAAGATGTTCTACAGAAATCTTTAGCCAAGTCAAATTTGAAAGCTTACAATTTTCCTCGTTCCAAATTGAATATCAGCTTTTCACCCAAAATATGTTATGCTAAAAAATCTCAGATAAAAGAAAAGTGTATACTAACTTTTGCAGTTTACCCTTATATACTAAGGGGTCGTTTGGTAGGATGTATAAGAATAATGTTGAATATGGCATATTAGTAATGCTGGTATTAGTTATGCTTGCATTAGTTATGCTGGCATTAGTTATGCTGACATATTTCTTATCTATTGTTTGGTTTGATGTATTAAAGCATTGCACAATTTCTAAAAGAATTGTTTGTTTACAAAAATACCCTAATAACTAGTCCATTACTTTTTTTTTTTTAAAAGAAACATATATTGAGGAATGTTTTTATATGAAAAAGGTTTTAAAAAAATTATTTGATTTGTCTACCTATCTTGTAGTATAGAAATAAATATTTATTTATAAAAAAAAAATATGCTAAGTATTTATTTATTTACTAGGGATATTATTTTGTTTCCCACTTTCTTGAATTATTTCTAACTTGTATTAATATAATATCATATTTTAATCAAGCAAATTTTGAAGGACAATTTTGTCTTTAACTAAGCAAATGCATGCATTAAAACCCATTGCATTGTTAATGCCATGGTTTCTTATGCATTAGTTATGCATAGCATAATACCAAATAGAGTGTATAACTAATGCTTGCATAACTAATACATAAGTTCAAAAAGTGTACCAAACAAGGTATTGTAAATACACAAACCTAATGCATGCATTATTTTATCTAATACATCCTGCCAAACGACCCCAGAGTCTTTTGCAGTTTACCCTTAGGCGAATGACTCAACTAATGAATCGAAAGCAACTTATTGTGCTACCATCCGTCTGCTTCAAGCTCTCGTGATGAATCTAGATGTTAACAAAAGCACAATTCAAACTGTTTTATAGTATAATCTTATGCGGTCAACAGACATAGCTAGCATGTTCACTCAAAATACCAAGATTAGAGCTACTTTCACTAAAACAAAGAAGGAATTTTGAAGAAAACGAAAAAAAATCTTAATGCACGGCAGCATCAGTTTAAATGCTACTGTCAGCTGTAGGGGTGTCAAACGGGCGGGGCGGGTCGGATATGAGCGAGTAAAAAACGGGTAATTCAAAAAACGGATAAATTATCCGATCCGACCCATATTTGAGACGGATAAAAAACGGGTTATCCGACAGATATTATGGATATCCATATTATCCATGGCTTCTTGAATATGATCACTTATGGGAGAGTTCCTAGTCTTCCAAACTTGAGGAACCCCCAATTTGAGGCTTTACAAATATAAAAGATAAACACATTAGTTATCCCTTGGTTATCCATTTGGTTAACCATTTTCTAAGTGGATAACATGGTTCTTATCCATATTCAACCCGTTTTTAAAAATTTCATTATCCAACCCATTTTTTAATGGATAATATGGGTGGATAACTGTTTTCTTTTAATCATTTTGCCACCTCTAGTCAGCTGTAATGATCTCATATAGCTAAGCGGGTATATAAACCAATCATTCAATCAACTACCCCTTACAACAACAACAACAACAACTACTATGGTTCAGTCCCAAATAAGTTGGAAGCAGCTATATGAATCCTCATTAACCATAATTCTCATCTCAAGCCAACGTTATGCAGACAACGGTAGTAACAACTATGCCTCAACCCACACCCATACTAGTGTCGTGTCGACACGGATCCGACACCTAAACTGTCGTGTCGGAGCAACTTAGCTTTTCGCTGCTACCAAATTCTCCAAAATGGTTAAAATATTCCTAGAAGATATAGCACCAAAGGAACATATCAAATCCCAGAAGATATAGCACCAGTGTTATCAAAGGCGAAAAGCACAAAAAAGCTCAAAGGTCTGTTGGGGCTTTAAGTTCAAAGCGCAAATAAAGCGTCGGCATTAATGAAAAAAGACGCAACTGGAGAAAAAGTAAAAATTTACATATGTAGTCTAAGACTAATAATTATAAGCATGAATAACAAATATATGGACAAAGAAATTGGAAAAAATTTACGATAAAGTGAAATATCAATTGTTTAATGTTACCTTTGCAGGATTACACTCATTGGCAAGTAAAAGTATGCCTAAGAGTCTTGATGCGATACTAAAACGCCCACAAAGCGAGGCGAAGCGCTCAACCTGTTTTGAGCTTCGCTGCAGGGCTTAAGCGCGCCTTTGACAACACTGTATAGCACCTAAAAATATATCAACAACAACATACCCAGTATATTTTCATATGTGGAGTCTGTGGAGGGTAGTGTATACGCAAACCTTACCTCTACCTTGTGCAGGTCGAGAAGTTGTTTCCAAGAACACATAACATGACTAAAATATATTCCCAACTACTAATTGGTATCGTTTATATCAGGGGCGGAGCTAGCCCTTCGGATACGGGTTCGATTGAACCCAGTAACTTTTGTACAAACCCTGTATTTGTCTTAAAAAATTATTGAATTAAGTACAAATTATTGATTAAGAACCCAGTAACTTAAAAGATTTAGAATACTGAACCCACAAGTTTCAAATTCTAGCTCCGCCTCTGTTCTATATAACTCTTTTTATTCCAATCAACTACTCATTGATCCCAACTTAGTTGGAACAACAATATGAATCCGCCACTTAGTCCACTCGATTCACATACATTTCATACAACCGCGAGTACATAAAGCCAAAAACAGAAAATTTCAAAAGATAAATGAGAAACAAGAACTCACGCTAAAATCCAGTTCCCATCAAGCAACTCAGGTGATTCAACTGGGCTTGGAGTTGGATTTGCCGCCTCCAACTGAGAAACCAGCTCCAGAGCCTCGGCTCGCATCTCCGATGAGGCCCTGAGCCCAAATTCTGTACCATAAACCGTGTCCATTAAGCACCTTTTCAGCTCTGCAACCCTCTCTTCTTCACCTTTCGGAGGATCCGAAACCGGTAATCGCGTTACGGGTCGGGGCTCCGGATCCAACGTGGTTTTATTATCAGAAACGCTCTCATTTATAACCCGGTCAGTGTTGTTTCCAACTGGCTTAGCTCCGATCCATTCGTCTTCGTCTCTAGGAGGATCCGAATCCGACACCGTTGGTACGGGTCGGGGCTCCGAATACGACTTCTCGCCCCACTCATCTTCAATTCCTGAATTTTTGCTGCTCCCCACTAGCTCAGCTCCTCTGCCCCATTCGTCATCATTTATAGGAGGATCCGATTCTGATAACTTCGTCCCGGGTCGGGTATCCGGTTCCGACCTCTCACCCCACTCATCAACAAATAAGATTTGTTTATCATCAGAATCGCTGTCGTTTTGGTTGAGTTTATTGCCCGGAGATTTTGGTACAAAAAAATCTTGTGGATCATTGAATGATGAAAAGGTTGAATGAATTGTAAATTTTCTAAATCTAGAGTTTGAGATTGAAGAATTAGGAAGAAATGAAGTGAGGTAGCAGGGTTTAACGGTGGTTTTAGTGTTGAAAATGAAAGAGGTTAAGTGCAAAATGGACATTTTTCTTTACTTCCGTCAGCTTAAACGTTAGTAACCGATGAAGTGCCGGCTGACGCGGTGGTTAAGGACGGCGGTTTTTGCTCTTTTCAGCCGGTGGTCACAGGTGGAGATGCCGACACGACAGTTGACGACGGTTGTTTTTCTCTTTCTTCCGGGTGTTTCTCCCTTTGACTTTAATAGTTCTGCTTCACAAATTTTGTACGTATTTTTTATTTTTATTTGAGGAATCCTATGGTTAATGTTTTGAGATTAAATTAGAGTAGTTATTTTACTTCCAAAGTAGCAACAAATTAAAATATCTAATTGTGCAAATTCGGAAACTTAATCTTAAATTAGGAAATAGAAATTTAAAATTTAAAATTTATATTTACAATATTTATGCAGCTTAATGGTATATACTGTATAAATTGACAATCTTAGCTCACATGAGTATTATGAATTGCTCCACCTTTAATTAAAGGTTTCGGGTTCCAGTGTAATCCTACAAGTGAAGTCTGAGAATGACAGTATATACGCATACCTTATCCCTACCTTAAGAAGATAGATATGTTATTTTCGATAAACCCTCGACTTAAGAAAAGATGTAAAACAACACTTATTCTTTAAATATCTCCCATAATAGTTTTAACACGGTACAAATCTAAATTAATTGGATTCTTGTCATGACCCGAAATTCCCTCCTTCGGACCGTGATGAAGCCTAACATTTCACTTGCTAGGCAAGCCAACATTAGAATAATATTAACCAATTTTTAAATTATTAATAATCAAGGAAACAAAAGCGGAAGCAAAGTTTGAAATATAGTAAAATAATCCATAAAAACAACGGTGTCTAAATACCATCCCAGAATTGATGTCACAAGTACACGAGCTTCTAGAATAAATACAGATAAAGGTCTGAATAAAATAAAACTGTCTGGAAATAAGCACACAACTAAAGTAAAATAGACGGGGACTTTAGAACTGCGGACGCCATGCAGTTATACCTCAAGTCTCCTCTGGTAGCTGAAATCCGAGCAAGTCTATGGTACGCCGCTGGGACCAACTCTAAAATCTGCACAAGAACTGCAGAGTGTAGTATCACTACAACCGACCCCATGTACTGGTAAGTGCTGAGCCTAACCTCGACGAAGTAGTGACGAGGCTAAGGCGGTTCACTTACATTAACCTGTACTCAATATTAATAACAATAACAAATAATAGAAAATAATTCAGGTAACTCATTTATAATAATTGAAATCAACTCAGCAGTCATAATCCATTATTATTTCAACCAATTTTGTTGCAGCGTGCAACCCGCTCTCACAATATATTCACATTCAATTCTGTTGCAGCGTGCAACTCGCTCTCCCAATATATTCACATTCAATTTTGTTGCAGCGTGCAATCCGCTCTCCCAATATATTCCTTTTAATCAAGTCTGTCATATATATACTTGATTGAAATAAATATATGACAGACTTGATTAAAAGGAATATATTGGGAGAACGGATTGCACGCTGCAACTATATAGTCTGTTGCGGCGTGCAATCCGATCCCCCAATATTGACTTTTAATAAGTCTGTTGCGGCGTGCAACCCGATCCTCCAATATGGATTTTTTAATAAGTCTGTCATATATTTATTTCAATCAAGTATATATATAGACTTTTAAATAAGTCTGTTGCGGCGTGCGATCCGACCCCCAATATTGACTTTTAATAAGTCTGTTGCGGCGTGCAAACCGATCCTCCAATATGGACTTTTTAATAAGTCTGTTGCGACGTGCAACCCGATCCTC